CTTTCCCGTCTCCTGCTTAACCTCTCGCGATCTTTGTATATTAACTCTTTCAAATGGCCCGCCTTTATCAGCCTCTCTATCTCGTCTTTAAGGTGTCAGCAATCGTCAGTGTTGTGCCCGTAATCTTTGTGGAATCGACAGTATAAGTTGCTTTTGGGCTTTACTAGTCCATCCTTCCTTCTTCGTGGCCATCTCACCTCATCGTCACGGATCTCTCTTTCCATGACTTCAAGTATTCTTGCATGAGGAGTCGACAGGGGTGTGTATTGAATCGGCCTCCACCCTCTTGATCGTCTTTCACCCCTGTCAGCTCGCGATGATCCTCTTCGTTCTCCTGTCGACTGACCTTTCTTCTCCTTCTTGTCGTCTCAATTATCCGTCTGTGATATTTTGACGCTCTGCAGGTAGTCGGCCTCTGCTTCCTCGACATTCATATACTTGACACACCTCCCCAATACGTCATCAAAACTCCTACCAGGTCGCTTGGCCAAAGAGTTCTTACATAACCCTGGTAGTAATCCCCTCGTCAGTCCTCTTGATTTGATTTCCTCTGTTGCCGTCGGGCACTCGACACACGCCTTTGTAAACCTCGCCACATACTCTCGCAATGACTCACCCTTCTTCTGCTGCATGCTAATCAACGAGAGATAGGACTTCTCTTGCACCCTTACACTCGCAAATTGGTTAAGAAAACTCGAGCTGAATCCATCAAAGTCCCGAATCGACCCAGCTGGTAGTTGGTGAAACCAGTCCTGGGTCGAGCCTGTTAGAGTCGTCAAGAAAGCGCGACATTGCACTGGGTAGCTATAGCGGTGGAGTACTGCCATATTTTCAAAACTCCTCAGATGTCGAGACGGGTCAGTGGAGCCATCATACCATATGTTCAACTCCCTGAAGCCTTTAGGTAAGTCGGCTCTCAGGATTTGCTACGAGAATGGGTGTTCCTTTGCTCCTCTGCTCTTCTTCCCTCCGACTCGAGCCTGCAAGTCGCAGACCTGGGCCAACAGCTGTTCCAACATCTCGTCCCTCGCTTGTTGATTGATAGTTTGAATGGTGGGTTCCTCCTCGTCCACCCTTCTGTTCTGTTGTACGTTTGACTGAGCTTGTTGTTCGACACGAGGTTGTTGCTCGACCCGAGGCGGGTACTCGACACGAGGCTGCTACTCGACCTGCGCCACCTGCTTCATCTGGGCGGCCACGGCTTCAGCGATCATCTTTTGCATTTCACTCCTCGTCACTGTCAAGGTCTGCTCCTCGACGCGGGGTTGTGTCTGCTCCGGTACTTCCTGTATCTGCTTTCCCTTGCGTCGAGACATCTCCGTGGGTTGCTTCTCTCCATCTGGGTTAGGGTTTTGACTTGTTCTTGCCTGGGTCAACACTTGCAGCTTCACTCCGGTTGGAGTGAAGGGGGTTTCTCCACCCAACGTCAGCCCCGATGGTGGAGGTCCTCCAAACGGTGGCATCCCCATCATCTGCATCATTGGGTGTTTAGGGGCGGAATGTGGTGGTGTCCTTTTGTCCATCCACGCTCCCCTAAACTCCTCGTTCAGATTCTTCTGCAAACCTTCCTTCTCCGCCATCAGCAAACAGATCGGAGCTAGGTGCAAAACTCTTAGTTCCTTCAAGGGCTCCCCACAGATGGCGCCAATATGAAGGGTCTACTTCTAGATCTGAAGAGAACCGGTGGATTTGACCTCAGATATGCTTGAACCGCGTCTGAATCGTTGCTAGACCTCGAGAATACCTGCAAAAACTCAATGCCGGAGGTTTTTCCGGCGTAGAGCATCCGACGCTCAGTATGAGAGTGATGAAGTGAGGCTGCGCAGCAGCTATGAGGGAGAGTGGGGAATGGATCAGAGTTAGGGTTTGGGGTTACTTCATCTCCTTTATATAGGAGTGAATACTTACCTGAAGTACCCAGAATGCCCAAGTCGGTGGACCTAGAAGGTCCAAAGTGCCCCAGTCGATTTGTCTCCCCTCCCTGCTGAGTCATCTCAAGATTCCTTCTTATCATTTGGAGAATGTAGAGCTTTAAGTATGTTGTAAGTGTGATGAGTCGTCATCACATCTTTGGTCTTCGTGATATATAGAAGTCGACCTCGGGAGCTAGGAGGTCGACTTGTGATCATATGAGGATTCGGAGGCTATGCTTGGTTAGTTCCCTCGAGTGGAAGTCGTCTTCAGGGAATAGTCTTTGTGAAGTCGACTACTGGGAGTTGACTTAGAGTATCTGGATGCTCAGAAGCTACGCTCTTGTTGTTCTTCTTATACAGATGTCGACTAATGGAAGTCGACAATCTGAGGTCGACTTGTGAGAGTCGATTGGACAGATTTCTGCCCCTTCTTGGTCGCTCTTTGTAGAATCAACTTTATGGAAGTCGATTTGCGTATGTCGATGGGAACATATCGTCCTGTAGATGGTTAGAGCAATTCACCGATCGAGTAGGGAGCTCTTGGACCGGATTATCCTTATATGGCTATATCACAATCATACTCATTATCTTACATTGAGATAGTGTGGTTCGTGGTGTCTCGAACCGAAAGGTAACCTATTGGTTCCTTGTAAGACTAAACTACTTGTTCACAGTCTAGACAGGCAGTGAGACCCCTCTTGGAAAAAGACTGTAGTGTATTCTTGATTCAGTTGATCTTTGACTGGGGAACTACACTAGTACTTATGTTAAGTATTGAACAGGACCACGGAAGGATAAGATTATGAGACTCATTGTAACGCCCCACTTTTATTTGCCGAAATTCAGAATAAATTTTTTTCAAAATTTATTTCAAAACACTTGAGCGCTACTCAATTTCCAAAACAATTCCAACAATATCACATATGCAATTCCCAACGAGTTCAATATTCATAAATAATCAACACCCAAACCGGGTTCAATAATCATAAATAGTCAATACCCAAACCGGGTTCATAAATGACATCAACTCCCAAGACTGTGTTCATCAAATCCATAAATACTAGGGAGTACACTCCCTACCGATAATCCAGTACTTAACATAAGTCAGGAATGCATAAATCATATTAAACAATTTAAACAGCGAAAATAATCAATAACATGACCACCACTCGCTTTCCTCTGTCGTGCCCGCAAATACTAACCTGCATCCATGAAGAGCAGGTGGGGATGAGCACAATAGGAAATCGAGGTGCTCACCACTATGCAATAATTAATATTAAATTTCATAAAATAAAGCAGGTATGGTCGCAGTATGAACACAAATCAATTAATATCCCATCTCCTTCCCAGAGTCTAACTCTCATGTGCACACCTATACCAATAGACCACTGCTGATACACGTATCGAAAACCCCCACGGGCCTTACATTCGATGCCCAGACAGTGGGAGTAAATCCACCCCGAATGCCTGAAAACATTCCTTCGGACTTACATCGAGGATCACCAGCCAAGGCTCACGGCCTGACTGCCATACATAAATAAAGGAGACACCCATCGGGTACGTTCTATAGCTACGGGGATAACCGTTCGACGGCCAATATAGCTCACATCGAAGGCTACATGGTTCACATGCATACTTTGATCATACCACAACAATAACAATTAATTAATGCATAGAAATTTTCAAATAAAACCCACTTGGAATCGCAGAGGATGATGGTGAAAGACCGCAAACAAGGACGAGGCTCGACTCTTATTAATCTACAAATTAGGGGTTTAATAATTAATAAGTGTTTTGATTGAGGTTGATTAAACCCCGCAATTAAACACACACAATTTATAATAACACATAAGGCAAGCAATTTAGGCAGGTAAAAGCATAAAATTCTGACAAATGTAACATATAAAATCATATAAACTTTAACTTCTTTTATTTCTCAATCAAAACTGAAACTTAGGCTCACTATACTCTGAAAATAAACACCTGTCAGCTCATCAAATATGCATGAAAAGGTATAGCAGAATGCATGGCAACAACAGAAAAGTACATAGCCATAATACACTACACAACAAAAACAACACCTGCTTCACTTTTATTTTATTATTTTAGCCACTACAAACAAATCAATAGGACATATAACTAAATGTAGAAATCTGGTGCTCCAACAATAATTACCAGCATATGAACTCCATATAAAGCATTTCAAAGTCTCGGCAAGAGTAACACCTAAAACAAGCATTCTCTTTTTAAAACATAAGCATGCATATTAATTTAATTAAGGCTAAAACTTTAACACTTAAATAGCTCACTAACAACCCCTACATGGTACTAAAAGTGCCCAGTAACACGAGGCAAAAACAGGGTACAATCAAACCTCAACTTAACTTATATGCTCCTCGCCCCTTTTTTTTAAAAAAAATAAATAAAATAAAATAAATTAAAGCATGTATAAGAGAGCCTCTTTTGCACTGAAACAAAAACCTTAAACTTAGCATAATCTCAACATATATCGGCACAAAATTTCACATCATAACAGCCCTCAAAACCGCATGCCAACAAACATAATTAAGCAAGGCAAAAATGGGACAAAATTCATGTTTTCACTTGAATAAAATCTAAGCTGAGGTAAAACTCGTCCTTATGGCTGAACCTAACACTTTAAAATTTCATACTTGCAGCATATATTTAACACATTATCAGGGAAAAACTCAGCAGTTTAATCATACCAAGGCCAATCACACCACAATATGCACCTCTCTTTTAAGATAAAAACTAAGGCATGCGAATCAACCTTTTAACCACTGAACTAAGCATTAAAAACCATCGTACGATTTCTTCCCTTCAGCACAAAACATCACATAGCAACAACTTCAAATAACATACTCAACAATTTAAAAACCTCACACGACTCACATCATTCTAATCCTCTTCAATTAGGCCAATCAAAGCATGCTTATCTTGACTGAAACTAAACATTTCCTAGCTTATAATAACAACACAGAAGCACATTAAAACCATTTAATCTCATCCAAGAGAAAGCTAAACAGTCTCAGTTAGCTTTACCTCTTGCGGGAATTAGAAACAGAACAAGAAAGGGTTTGGGTCGCTCGACGGACATCCCCCGGAGACGGACGACAAGCCCCGGGCTGCTGCCCGGTAACCGGACGTGGGAAAACAGGCTGTTCGGGGCTCTCGGCAAAGGATCGACCCGCTTCTGTTCTCGCCCGGGACCCAAAAGGGCTGCTGCAGCTCAGAATTGAAACCGACGGTTGCTCGATAAGAGCCTCGAGCGGCTGCTGTTCGTTGCCGGAAAAAGCTCGGGTCTACACGGCTATGGCGAATGGCTGGGTGCACTCGTTCGCCGGCAGGGCTGCTCGAATCTTCGCTAAGGGTCAGCCTTCGACAGTCGCGCTTTGTCTCTTCAGCCGTCGGGAAATGAAGCTCTTCGCCGGCATTTTCCCGCTTTCGATTGCACGATTTCTGACGCCTGGAACTCGTCGGACTGGTGCTGCTCTTGCCGGAAATCCCGTCGCTGAGGCTTGGTGCTCTTGCCGTCGGATGGCCGGAGGTCAGAGTTTGAAGGGATCGAGGCTCAGTCGGGCTAGAGGTCAGAGGTTGGATCGCGGCTCGACGTCGGGAATAGATCCGCCGCTGCTGCTCGTTCTCGGTTCGCCTACCTCGCGTCGCCGGGAATCTCGTCGTTGGGCCGATTCGGCTGCTCTCGCTGGAAAATTGGACTCAGGTCGCGGAGGAGCTCGGGGAATCGCGGCTCGAGATAGAAGTTAGTTGTCCGTCTAGAGATCGGAGGTCAGATCTCAAAGGTCTCGGAGGTCGTCGGCGCGCACGGACTCCTCGTAGCCAGAAATGGCTGGCTCTCGAATTCGCTGGTTCTGCTCGTAATCGGGCTGGTGGTGATCGACTCGCCGGAACATGGTGCCCTTGCTGTCGAAAAAACGAAGCTCTGCCGTGAGGGATGGCTGGTACAATTGGGCCATCTCTGCGAATTCTCTGTGAACTTTTTACTGAAGGAGAAAATGAGAGTGGCGGCTAATTGGAGGGTTCCTTAAATAGGTGGAAAAATAGGGCTTGAAGGGAAGAGAGATATGTGGGTGAGCTCGCCGGATTTCAAGCAGGTCGGGCGTCGTGGTCGCTGCTGGTGGCGGATTGATGGCCGAGAAAAGAGGGGAAGTTCAAGTTAGTTGCGACTCGTTCTTCTCTGCTCAAAATGAGAGAGACTGAAAGTGGGATTTGGTGGCAATTAAAAATGGGCCGAAAATGGGTTGCTTATTATTAGTTTGGGCCGACAATTTAGCAACTCTTAGGTACTCTTGGGGTAGATATATCATATAAATTGGGTCGGAACCAATTTAATCGGCCGAAAGAAATATAACGCGACAACGAGAGTTCCCGATCGATACGATTGACGATAAAAATAAAACAGATATTATTTATATTTATAATACACACAATTATAAAATAATAATATTATTAATAATACAAATACACACATAATATTAAATAATAAATATCATTTAGACAATTAGACATTTTAATCGCAAATTGACAGATAAATCATTTTAGGCATTTAATAATATTTAGTATTCAATAATAATAACAACAAATAAAGGTAAATAATAATAATCATTATAATAATAATAATAATAATAGTAATAATAATAATAATAATAATAATAAATTCCCAAATATTCTATAATCAAACGGGGCATTACACTCATTGACCGTTGTTGTAATCTAGACCTTCAGTGATTGATGCGTTCTCTAAAGCTGTAAGATAATATAAAATAGGCATATATATTCATTACTTGTTTATTTGATTTACCAAGGGTGATTTCTATTCCGTTAGGATGACGTACTCGGTACTTTGGTAAATGAGCTCCCGGCGGCTTGTCAGCGTCGTGTCACGAGCTCCCGGCGCATTATCAAATACCGCCTATAACCGGTGGCAGTACTGGAGATATAGAAGAGTGTCATCCCTCGGACCGGGATGGACACTGTACTGCTGAGGCTGTGAGGAGGACGATGAAGCCATTTATCTACAAACAATACAAAAAAAAAAATATTAGGATTAAGGTTATTTATTAAATTAATGATAGCCTGATGTTTAATTATGAAATCTTTATAAAAATCAATAGGATATTTATAAAATTCTAAATAAAAAATTCTTTATAAAATATTAATAACAATTCCTTTTTATATCTAAATTTGTTGTACTGTTTTAAATATATTTAGTTTATCGTCACTAAATTTTAATTACAAATATACTAACTTTTTACAATTTATAAATGTTTTATATTTAGTTTATCATCACTTATTTTTAATTAGATTAAATTTGGTTTAAGACTACTTTATAAATGGTGTATATAGTTTTATATTGAATGTCATATTTTTAGAAAATAAAATTATAAAATTGTAGCAAACATGTAAAACAACCTTATGTTTCAAATACAAAAATAAGCTCCGAAAAGAATCCAAATTAATGTATAAATCAAGTGCAAGCCAAAAAAACGTCCAATATCCTATTCACAATTTCAACAACATTAGAGTTTCGAGTCTTAATTCGAAGTTCTAAATCCAAACCCTAACGTCCTAATTCCGAAAATTCCGTACACCCTAATTGCAAGCCTCATTCAAACGATAGTTAAAATCAACCCTAATGTCCTAAGTGAAGAAGACGACCGATTTTTTTGTGTTATATCACACAGAAAACGTTCCTCCTGTTTGCAATCAACCCTAACCTAAAATTCGAACCCTAAAGCCTAATTGCAATCATCCCTAACCTAAAATTCGAGCAATATGCAATCAACCATATTATGAAACATCCAATTTTCAAGCAACCATATTATGAAACATAAAATTTTCAAGCAACCCTAACCTAAAAATGTATTATGAAAATTCGTATTTGTTGAAAAAATTAAAAAAAAATTAGGCCATTTACCTAATTGACGAAGAGATATGTAGTTGACGGGCCGAGACGATGGTGGCGCGGCGGCGGTGGCGCTTCTGGAGGGAGGGCGGGATTTGCTAGTGTTTATTCGGATTTGTTTGGAGAGTTCATTTGGATTTGGTTGGATTGTTTGAATTTGTTTGGATGATTTGTTTTGAATTATTTGGATGGTATTTACTGTAAGTTTGGTTTTCATGGTATTTTGATTTAGATTGTGCATTTTCATTTTTTTTGTTGTTTTGGATTGTTAGAACAGGTTTTTTTGGGTGTTACAATATGTATTTGGACAGGTTCCCAGTAGAAAACGTATTTATGAATTACGTTATGAAAAATTTTTTTATTCAAAAAACGGATTCTAGGAATCCGTTTTTCAATTTTAATTATTTGAAAAACGGATTCCATAAATCCGTTTTATAAATGGCAAAAAATAGTACCAAGGTTCCCAGATTCGGGACTCGAACCCGCGTTCGGGTGAATCCGTTATCTCTAGGGGCTCCTCGTTACCATTAGGCCGCACTAGGCTATCACTGATTTTTTTGCACAAGTTTTATTCTTATCCTTTAACATTAATATTTTTTATAGTATATTTTATACAGTATATATTATACAATATATATTATATATATAGTATATAGTATATATTATTTATTTATAGTATAAAATATAATATTACTATATAGTATTATATGTTATATACTATATATTATACCATATAATATATACTATATAGTATTATATGTTATATACTATATAGTATTATATGTTATATATAGTATATGTTATATACTATATATACTATATAGTATTATATGTTATATACTACATATTATACCATATATAGTATTATATGTTATATATACTATGTATTATACCATGTTGTAAAATATAATATATACCATATAGTATTATATGTTATATACTATGTTATATTGTACTAATTCGAGTTCGATTTCACTATAGTTGTAGGTGAAGATGAAATAATGCTATTAACTTGGGAACGAACAGCAAAAGTTGTCACAAAACAATTTAAATGCAATCCTGCTGCGTTTAACGATGAGTCGCTGTTGTACTAATTCGAGTTCAATTGTACTGATTTGAATTCAATTGTACTAATTTGATTTCGCTATAATTGACTTTAATTGTACTAATTCGAGTTCAATCATACTCTCATAACATATAAGATATAAACTATAAACTATAATCTATAAGATATAAAGTATAAGATATAAACTATAAACTATAATCTATAAGATATAAAATATAAGATATAAACTATAAACTATAAGATATAAACTATAAACTATAACATATAAAGTATAAGATATAAACTATAAGATATAAACTATAAGATACAAAGTATAACATGTAAAGTATAAGATATAAACTATAAATTATAAGATATAAATAATAAACTATAAACTATAACATATAAAGTATAACATATAAAGTATAAGATATTAACTATAAGAGATACTACATGTTATATACTATATGTTATATACTATATGTTATATTTTATATACTATATGTTATATATTATATATTATATGTGATATACTATATGTTATATACTATATGTTATATATTATATACTGATGGGTCTACTTCCAGATCTGGAGTAAACAGGTTGTTGTGAGCTCAGATCTGCTTGAACCGCTTCCCAACCGTTGCTAGACCGCGAGATTGCTGCAAAAACTCAACGCCGGAGGTATTTCCGGCGTAGAGCCTCCGACGCTCAAGTCAGTGTCAGAAAGACTAAAGGCTGCGCAGCAGCTGTGGGGGAGAGTGGGAATCAATAAGAGTTAGGGTTTTGGGGTTACCTCATCTCCTTTATATAGGAGGGAATACTTACTTGAAGTGCCCAAAATGCCCAAGTCGGGGGACCTAGAAGGTCCAAAATACCCTGGTCGATTCGTCTCCCCTTGTTGCTGAGTCATCACAAGATTCCTTCTTATCTTTTGTAATATGTGGAACTTCAAATATGCTGCAAGTGTGATGAATCGTCACCATGCTCGGCCTTGAGGCGTAAGAAGTCGACCTCAAGCACTGGGAGGTCGACTCATGATCATATGAATATCCGGAGGCTACGCTTTATCGTTCTTTTGAGTGGCAATCGCCTTCAGAGAATCGTCTTAGCGAGGTCGACTTCTGAGAGTCAACTTAGAGTGTCTGGATGTTCGAAAGTTATGCTTTTGCTGTTCTTCCGCTATTGATATCGACTAGAGAAAGTCGATAGGCTAAGGTCGACTCCCGAGAGTCGACTAGGCTTATTCCTGCCTCGTCTTGATTGCTTTCCATAGAATCGACTTTAGGGAAGTCGATTTGGACATGTCGACGTAGTCATGTCGACATGCAAGTTGTTCGAATGGTTTACCGGTCGAGTAAGAAGCCTCTGGACCGGGTTATCCGTATGTGGCTATATCATCTAGTCCCCCCCGAAAATTACTCTAAGTAGTCGACTGCTTAAGAGTAAATTTAGTGATGTGTGATTGTGTCGTCTTCCTGCAACACTTGCTCGTCTTCGCCAGTTAATCGAGAAACATCTAAACTTATCATGATTGCCTTTTCGGATAAGTCTGACACTTCTGACATCCTTTTTGAATTTTGAATCTTCAATGATTCTGAAACGACGTGCGTCACCTCAACCGCTGGTCCTTCGAATTCTGCGTTTCATCGGGACCGTTGGCTCCCTTGCTGATCCGACGGTCAACATCTATTATCTCGTGTATAAATATATCTTGGGCTTGCCTCATATATTTTTTTTTTCACGCTCTCATTCTCCCTTATTCTTCCAACTGCTTTCAACTCTCCGGCAATTTTCTGTTTTTCGGCTTCATCGGTGCTCTCCCTTTCCGGTGACTCCAGATCCGAGATTTTCAGATCCAGGACTTTCTCAACCGCAATCATGTGTAAGTGTCCTAATTTCTCAACTTTTACTGTTTCTGTTTTCTGTAGATTTTCTTGATTTTTCTGGGTTTTCTGCGTTCCGAAACTCATGTGTGTTCTTAGTGTTCTTCAAATTTTCGTATGGACTCTTTGCTAGATTTCTCTGGCCAGGGTTTCTCCTGGGCTTCTTGTTTTCTGGCTTTCTCATGCCGG